TATTAATAATCTCATATTTTCACCTTAATTGTAAATGGTTGAACGGTTGTAGTCGTAAAGGGGAAAGTGTTGCATACATGTAAATATACACAGAATAATTGCTTTTTCTTTTACTCCTCCTTGTGGTATTATATACATTAAGGAAATAATACAGGGTTATTCATATGATTGAAATGCAAATGTTTGAAAATAGTCTAACAAAACATAAGTTTGTCTTATTACTACTTTAAATTATAATCCATTACTTTTCCAGGTGTTCCCTTTTGTAACATTGCTGAATTCTCAATTTCGTTCTTCTTTTATGTTCCTTCAAGTGGCATTAGTTCATATTAATGAGTCAAACATAACACTCAACAGATTTCAGGTGTTTACTTTTGGATCTTCTTTGTTAATAGCAATTACTAATTATGATAGTAAAAACGTAAGATTAGTTTGCAAATAACATTTGCATTGTAAAAAAGTTGTTATCGTAGTTAGAGCAACGCACGATGCTTTGTAATATAGTTAATTTCATGCCCGATATTAAGATAATCCATTTAAATACATAAACATTGTGATGATTCATTTTGTTTTTTTTAGAGGCATTAATACAATACGATTGTGTGACACATTGCATGTTGTAAGTTCTAATTTGTATGCATTTTTAAGTTTATTATTTATAATTGGTGTATGTAATGTAAGATGTGAGAAATTTAATGCTTGCTTATGTGAATGTCGTATTGTCATTAGAATTAATCGTTTGACCATGTTTATAATGATTTGATTGTCAAAACAGTCACGAGTTACTCCTTTCGACTACACTTTTTGATGTTCGCCTTTAGTAATTAGTAATTAGTAATATTTGTGTAGGATGTATTGCTTCTAGAAGAACAGATATGTCACATATCTAAACCAATAGTAAAATCGCAAGCTGTAGCCATTGCTAATGGTACATTCGTTTACGAAAATTCTAACTTGCACACTAAGAAGTTAAAAAATGTTAAAGAAAAAAAGTGAGTGTTTTTTTGTTTGTGTATTTTTACTGTCATCTGGAATTATTCCTTTGAAATAATTTTTTTTGTATTTTTTCAGGAAAGTTGGATCATATTTAAAGACCAAAATTGAACTAGAGAAACTTAATGAACCCTCCCAGGAAACACAATATGTGGAAGTACTCTCTGATATTAAGTTTGGAGCAGCTAAAGGTACATTAATAGGAATTTGTGGACAAGTAGGAAGTGGGAAATCTAGTCTCTTACTTGCTGCTCTAGGGCAGTTAAAAATGATAAATGGCCATATTTTGAGAGAAGGTTCATGCGCTTATGTTAGTCAGCAGGCATGGATTGTTAATGCAACTTTTAAGGAAAATATATTGTTTGGAAACCAGTTTGATGCTAAACGATACTATCAAGCATTGACAGTATGCAGTCTAAAAGAAGACTTGAATATGTTACCGGGTGGAGACGAAACTGAGATTGGAGAAAGAGGTATAAATCTTTCAGGGGGACAAAAACAAAGAGTTGCTCTCGCTAGAGCACTCTACGCTAATCGGTAAATAGTTTTCTTTCTCTATTAAAATTTCTTAATTTATTATTACAAGTGGATATTAAAAAAGCATTCTTTTTCAAGAGATATATATTTTTTGGACGACCCATTAAGTGCAGTAGATACACATGTGGGTTCTTACATTTTTAAAAATTTAATTCTCGGAGTGCTTAAGGATAAATGTGTTTTGTTTGTAACACATCAGGTTCAAGTATGTTTAAAATAAATATTTATGAAACTCAATTAATATATATATACTTAATTACAAATAACATTATATCCGAACAATTACAGTTCCTAAAGCATTCTAATCAAATTTATGTAATGCATAAAGGTAGAATTGTAGAACAGGGTACACACGATGAATTGATAAAATTAAATAGAGAATACGCTGCAATGGTAAACAGTGCACTATTAAAAACGAAGAATAGTTCAACAGAGTATGCATTTTACAAATAATTTTTAAAGACTATAGTTTTCGTAATTTTAACAATTACTTCTAATTTAATTAGTGAAACCTCAGCATTAACTAAGATAGATAGCAGAGAATCTAGTAATGATTTGGAGAAACAAATAGCATGCAGTTCTGGAGACAACAATGAAAATATTGCAATATCAAAGGAAATACATGGAGGTGGTGTGTGTTAAGATTTATATCATCAATTTAAAAATATTTGTCATTTATGTTATTCATATTTGTTATCTAGGAGCAATTCTGACAACGCCAGAAAAAATGGGGACGGGTACTGTGGAATTGTACACGTATCATACATATGTGAAATCTGCAGGTGGTTATTTTATAACTCTTTTGGTATTTTTTACGCTCTTGTTAAATGTTGGAAGTTCAGCATTTAGTACTTGGTGGTTAGCCATATGGATTAAAGCTGGTGGTGGAGTAAATATGTTTTTTTTTTTAATTGGTATTTATGTTTCTTATTTTTAGTTAACGTTGATCTTTTTCATTTAAGAATGTCACTGATCCCAATACCAATAAAACTGTAACTTCAAACAATTTAAATGATAATCCAAACTATTCATACTATCAAAACATTTATATTGGCTGCATTGGAGTTATTTTGTTAACAAGTTTACTGCGTGGCTTTGCTATTATGTACGCTACAATAAAGGCTTCAACGACATTACACAATCAAGTTTTTAAGAAAATGATTAAATCAGCAGTTACATTTTTTGAAACTACTCCTATTGGAAGAATACAAAATATTTTTAGCCGAGATATTGATGAAGGTAAAACCTCCTAAATATTTTTGGAACTAGTAAGTAAATGCATTTCTTTATCTATCTTTTTATTGTAGTGGACAATTACATACCGATTTCTGTGGAAAACATGGTACAGAATATTATTACATGTAGTTTTGCAATTATAGCTATATGTGCAATATTACCCTGGTTTTGTATACCATTAATCATTCTTGCAGCTGTTTTCTTTTATATTAGCAAAATCTTTAGGTGAGATTAATATTCTAAATAAGAATTTATCATATTTATTACTATCAAATGTAGCGAAAAGACAAATTTTTCAGAGTAGCAATGAGAGATTTCAAGCGAATAGAGAGTACCTCGCGATCTCCCGTTTTGAGCTTTGTTACAACCACTATTCATGGTTTGAATACCATTCATGCATTCCAAAAGGGAAAAGCATTTGTAAACAAGTATATTTCTTAAATTGAATCACGAATGAAGTAATTTGAAGGAGATAAAAGTATAATACTGAATTACTACATTTTAGATTTGAGGAATTAATTGACTTGAACAATTTGTGTCTTTACCTGTGTCAGTCTATCATGAGATGGTCCGCCGTGAGACTCGATATTTTAGCGATTATTTCCTCTTCCATTACTGCGTTTCTTGTAATATTGCTTAAAAACCAAATATCACCATCTCTTGCCGGTTTGGCAATGGCATATGCAATGCAAATGACCGGCGTTTTTCAGTATACTGTAAGATTAATGGCAGAAACAGAAACTCGTTTTATAAGTGTCGAAAGAATAAGTTACTACTTAAGGGTAAATAAAATTAGTACTTATTAATTGCAACAATAATTGATAATTAAATCACATAGCTAATAATATATATGTTGCACCTTACAGACATTGCAGAAAGAAGAAAGTTTTAGGAATGATCCTATAAATCCTTCAGATCAATGGCCTACTGACGGCGAGTTGGAATTCCATAAAGTCGAATTGAAGTACAGAAAAGAACTGCCACCTGTATTAGATAATATTTCATTTGTTATTAAATCCGGTGAACATATAGGTAATAATAATTTGATAACAGATTTACGATCATTATTTACATGATTATTTTTTCTGCGACATAATGAATTTTAGGTATTGTGGGAAGAACAGGAGCTGGGAAAAGTTCTCTTATCGTTGCTTTGTTTCGATTAGTTGAAATTTCTAACGGAAAAATTCGAATTGATGGTATAGATATAGCAAAAGTGAAGTTAAAATTATTAAGGAATAAATTGTCTATAATTCCTCAGGATCCTGTTTTATTTAGTGGAACCATACGGCAAGTACATTTAACAAATTAAAAAATAAACAAAGAAGTAAATTTGAATATTAGAAATTGAATAATATCTATAATTATATTGTAGATCAAATTTGGATCCTTTTGAACAATTTGACGATTTCGAAATTTGGAGTGTTTTAGAAAAAACTCAATTGAAGGAGAAAATTCAAGCTATGCCAGAAGAACTCAATGCTCCTATTGAAGTTGGAGGAAACAATTTAAGCGTTGGCGAGCGACAATTACTTTGTTTATCAAGAGCACTTTTGCGTAATGCCAAAGTATGATGTCAGCGAAAGTTCTTCGTATTAATTAATGTTTATTTCACTTAATAATTTATAATTCCATTGTAGATAATAGTATTAGATGAAGCAACTGCTGCTGTTGATCCAGAAACTGAAGTCGCTGTTCAAAATACCATACAAAACGCATTTTCCAATTCTACTGTATTAACGATAGCTCATCGTTTGAAGACTGTTATTTCATGTAATCGTGTTATCGTTATGAAGAATGGCCAAATAATTGAATTTGACGCACCATCTGTACTTTTATCCAATTCAAACTCCGAATTTTCGAAAATGATGGCCTCAACAGAGAAGAACATAAAGAAAACTTAATCAATATTAACAATAGCATTATATTTAATAAATGCAAACATTAACAAATTAAAAAAATGAAAGTGTTCTTTAAAATATATATTAAGCACATTTTAATATACGATTTTTTGAAAATAAAATTAATAATGAAAGTAAAACATTTCCTTTTTAATTATGAGAGAAGACTACATTTTTTAAATAAATCGACATTATTCTTTTAAATATTTCATTAATGAATAATGATTATCAAAATAAAAGTCTTTGTTACTTACAACATCGTCGATTCACGCGCCTTCGTTCACGATTTGAAATATTGATTTGTTTGCAATGATAATATTACTGCTCATGCTCACATCGAGCTTTCACTATCACTGGAAAGCCCAGAACTGAACCAAAAAATGATCACCGCCATGCCGCCAGCTTGTTGTTACTAATAAGATGTTTATTACACGTTAAAGCTTTATCGTTGTTTTATACTGAAATGTAGTCTATATGAATTGCCGTAAAGGCAATTTTCGTTGTCGTCCAAATTGTTAAAAAAAAGGTAGGACCAATTAATTACATCATTTTTATTGGATGCGATAATTATAGTAATCTTAATTAAAATTATACATTATGTACACGTTTAATTATGTTATAGTAATTTTAACTATTGTCTTCTTCGTATATCAGTATCATATATTATATTTTAATTTTCAACATGTAATTATTTAACCATCATATTGCTGTTGATTTATAATAATATAATTGTTTTTATAATAATATCGAAAGAATTGTTTTTTATTATTATTTATTGTTATTGATGTTCATGTTTATTCCGTAATATTGTGTTATTCGTAATACTTTTCAATTATAGGCCTCACCATTGCGAACATAATTCCTATTATGATGCTGGGGCGCAAGCAGAGCCTCAAAGGGGAACCCGTCTTGGCCGATTATGGCCCAGAGGAGTCCCTCAATGAGAGCGCTGATATAGAATGGGTGAATAAGGTACATCAGAAACACGTATATTCATTCTTGAATAAGTCAAATATTTGTCGTTTCTTCTTGTAAACTGCGTGTACATTTATTAATATTAATTACTAACTAATTACTTGGTTGTTGTAGCTATGGGTGAGAAGATTGATGAGGTCTTGTGCTCTAGTATCTTTAGCTTCTGTTTGCTTAAATACTCCTAAGACTTTTGAAAAAGTTCCACCTCTTCAATATGTTACCTTTATTTGCGATTTAGTTATTACGTTTTTATTTACTGCTGAAATGATTGCTAAGATGCACATAAGGGGCATACTGAAGGTAATTCGTATAATATTGTAAATCTACCTAACAATTTACAAAAAACTGACAATCATTTAGTTACAGAGGGATAAATCTTATTTAAAAGATCATTGGTGCCAATTCGATGGAAGTATGGTCATCTTTCTCTGGTTATCTGTAATTTTACAAATGTTTGAGATGCTAGGTTTCGATATACGGCTCACTCCCATTTCGATATTGCGGGCACCACGACCTTTGATTATGATACGCTTCTTACGAGTCTTCCTTAAGTTCTCCATGCCGAAAGCTAGAATTAATCAAATTTTTAAGTAAGTATTTTGGAGACAAAAAATTCATTGAGCGTTTTATACTTATTGCGCTACTTGTGATTTCAGGCGTTCGAGTCAACAGATATATAATGTGACTCTTTTCTTCCTTTTCTTCATGTCTCTTTATGGTCTTTTAGGCGTTCAATTCTTCGGTGAATTGAAAAACCATTGTGTTCTTAATACTACAGATCCGAAGTATATAACTATAAATAGTTTAGCCATTCCTGATACTTTTTGTTCTACTGATCCTGAATCAGGATACCAATGTCCAGAAGGAATGACTTGTATGAAACTCCAATTGTCGAAGTACATCATGGGTTTCAATGGATTCGATGAATTTGGTAATGACAAATCTTACAGTATAATACATTTCTTACAACCTTATTTATTAAGTAATGTACTTTACAGAAATAACTTTGGTTTTTCAGCTACTAGTATTTTTACTGTCTATCAAACTGCATCGCAAGAGGGATGGGTTTTTATCATGTACCGTGCTATAGATAGTTTACCCGCTTGGCGTGCGGTTCTTTACTTTAGTACGATGATATTTTTCTTAGCATGGCTCGTGAAAAACGTATTCATAGCCGTCATTACGGAAACTTTTAATGAAATACGAGTACAATTTCAACAAATGTGGGGTGTTAGGGGGCACATCAGTAACAATACAGCGTCACAAGTTAGTAATAAACTTTGTAGTTTGTAAAATAATTAATTGGACTCTACATATAATGTCTCTTTTTTTTTTTAGATATTAACTGGTGACGATAATGGTTGGAAATTGGTAACTCTAGATGAGAACAAACACGGAGGATTGGCTTCTCCCATATGTCACGCGATTCTTAGATCTCCACAATTTCGTATGGTGGTAATGTTCGTGATTTTGGCAAATGGAATCGCCACTGCGACGATGAGCTTCAAGCATGATGAGAAACCAAGGCATATGTACTATGACAACTATTACTACGCTGAAATCGCGTTCACCGTATTTTTGGACCTCGAGACGTTATTCAAAATCTGGTGTCTCGGCTTTCGCAGTTATTACAAGCATTCGATTCACAAATTCGAGCTGCTGCTGGCAATTGGTACAACCCTACACATCATTCCGTTCTTCTATCTTTCTGGATTCACGTATTTTCAGGTTTCTATATTCACTTTTGTTCAGCCCTAAAACAGATACAGTTATATAGTTAAAAAAAAAAGACAAAATCAAAGTATACAATGATAAATTGATATGGCATTTTTTTGTAATTAGGTTCTTAGAGTAGTCAGACTCATCAAGGCATCACCTATGCTCGAGGATTTTGTATATAAAATATTTGGTCCGGGGAAAAAGCTAGGCAGCCTCATTATATTTACCATGTGCCTGCTAGTCATATCGTCCAGTATTTCTATGCAGCTTTTTTGCTTTCTTGATTTCACGAAGTTTGAAACATTTCCAGAGGTAAAAGATGTGATCAGATTTATACTGTAATCAAATTATACTGATGGAAGGTTTTTTAGGCATTTATGTCCATGTTCCAAATCTTGACACAAGAAGCTTGGGTAGACGTTATGGACGAAACAATGTTAAGAACACATGAAACAATGGCTCCTCTTGCTGCTATGTATTTCATATTATACCATCTTTTCGTCACGCTGGTAAAAAAAATAGAAATAGATTTAGAGTTATTTTCTTCTTAATCGTGATGTAATTAATAATATTATATCTTTTTTATAGATTGTGTTAAGTTTGTTCGTCGCTGTAATTTTGGATAATCTTGAACTGGACGAAGATATCAAGAAACTGAAGCAATTAAAATTCCGCGAACAAAGTGCAGAGATAAAGGAAACTCTACCATTTAGGTTGCGAATCTTTGAGAAGTTTCCTGATAGTCCTCAAATGACATGTTTACACAAAGTGCCATCAGATTTCAATCTTCCAAAAGTAAGTATTACTTATTATCCTACTGTGTATTTTTATTACAAAAAAATGGGTAAAACACATATACATTTACATTTTTATATTTTTAATTTAGGTTCGTGAAAGTTTCATGAGACAGTTCGTATTTGAAATGGAAACTGAAGAAAACGAAGGTGTCAAGAAAATAAACGAAACTTTTGATTCAAAAATGATATATAGGAAACAACGTCCAGTAAAAATTTTAAATAATCCACCGAAAGTAAGAAACGTTGCTACAAATCTTAAAAAAGCAGCTGTTATCTATATTATAAAGTGAGTTATTATATCATAAAATGTTTGAACATTATTTATAAGTCTTATGCTAAACATACAATATGTGTACTGTTTTTCAGTGATTCAAATAATCAAAGATTATTACTAGGTGATTCGGCTATGATACCAGTGCCAGGAAAAGGTCTTTTAAAGCCACAGGGTACTGTCAGTAGTGCCAAGCAACTTCGTTTTGACCAGAAAAAGTAAGATCTTAAGTTCTACAAATAATTACATAATAATGTATTACTTAAAGAGTATTTATAGATAATAATAATTTTGTAAATGATCATTATAATAGATCAATTAGAAGAAGCGTCCGTAGTGGATCAATCAAGTTGAAACAGACGTACGAACATTTAATGGAAAACGGTGATATCGGAGGTATAAACAGAGTTAGCTCTTCTCGGAGTAGACCGCATGATTTGGACATTAAATTGTTGCAAGCTAAACGACAGCAGGCCGAGATGCGAAGGTAAGATGCAATAGTTTCTCCTCACTGGTTCGAACACTTACACTCTTTCTATTTCTAATTGAACTGCTTACCACATTGCACTTATGTAGAAATCAGCGTGAAGAAGATTTACGCGAAAATCACCCATTTTTTGACACACCATTGTTCGCAGTACCGCGTGAAAGTAAATTTCGTAAAATTTGCCAGTCGCTTGTTTACGCGAGATACGATACAAACGTAAAAGATCCATTAACTGGAAAAGAGAGGAAAGTTCAATATAAAAGCCTGCAGTAAGTGCTTTCAGTATAAGCATTGATATTTTAAAATGCATTAAACTATTGCTTGAAGTTCAAGACAAGGAATATTAATTATAGTCACATATATTTGTACGCTTTGTAGCAATTTTCTTGGCTTGGTCACATACCTTGATTGGGTAATGATTTTTGCTACCACTATGTCTTGTATCTCTATGATGTTCGAAACACCACGATACCGCGTAATGGAAGTTCCGGCATTGCAAATTGCGGAGTACGGTTTCGTGATCTTTATGAGTATCGAATTAGCTCTGAAAATTCTGGCAGACGGGCTATTTTTTACGCCGAAGGCCTATATCAAAGACGTCGCCTCCGTGTTGGATATTTTTATTTATGTCGTACGTTGATAAAAAATCACTCTTGCTATTCGATATCTGATAAATTCAACGCTAATCCAGTGGTCGTTTAGGTCAGCCTCGTGTTTCTCTGTTGGATGCCGAAGAGCGTGCCTCCGAATTCCGGTGCGCAACTTCTTATGATCTTACGTTGCGTTAGACCACTAAGAATCTTCACTCTTGTACCGCACATGAGAAAAGTTGTTTATGAATTATGTAGAGGGTTCAAAGAGATCTTATTGGTAAATAATTCTAATTAAAAGTTCAAACATGCAAATGTTTTTTGAATACATAAAAGCCGTTTGGCACTGAGTTCAGACAAAAAATGAATAAGAAGCTTTTTAGGTCTCTACTCTATTGATTTTACTGATGTTTATATTCGCGAGTTATGGTGTACAGCTCTACGGGGGTAGATTAGCTCGTTGCAACGATCCCACTATTTTAAAACGAGAAGATTGCGTTGGAGTATTCATGAGGAGAGTTTTTGTGACGAAAATGAAATTAAATCCTAGCGAAAATGAGAGCTATCCATCGATACTAGTGCCACGCGTTTGGTAGGCTTATTAAAAAGAAAATGCCAAATTTAAATGATTCTACAAAGGAAAGAGTTTCTAAGTAGATGTTAAAATCTTTTAGGGCTAATCCTAGAAGATTTAATTTTGATAATATTGGTGACGCGCTGATGGCACTTTTTGAAGTACTCTCTTTTAAAGGATGGCTCGACGTTAGAGATGTTCTTATACAAGCTCTTGGTCCCGTAAGTCATTAACATTACCTTCGAGTACTTCTGCGATGATATTATGCAATGACTTTTTAGGTCCATGCTATTTATATTCATATCTATATTTTCCTGGGTTGCATGATTGGTTTAACGCTGTTCGTCGGTGTTGTTATCGCTAATTATTCTGAAAATAAAGGAACCGCATTACTCACGGTCGATCAAAGACGATGGTAAAGTTTTAATTGAACATAATGGATTTCTCAAATGAAACGTTCAAATTGTAAACGAATATTTATTATGATTCGAATAGGTGTGATTTGAAAAAGCGACTGAAAATCGCACAACCGTTACATTTACCACCCAGACCAGATGGAAAAAAATTCAGGGCATTTATCTATGACATCACGCAAAATATCTATTTTAAAAGATTTATTGCGGTCATGGTGCTCATAAACAGTGCTCTTCTGTGTGTCTCTGTGAGTTGAATAATATTTCATTCATTTTCTATAAGAACAACACACAAAAACACCACAACACCATAACATCGTTTTATAAAATTAATTAGCAAACTTTTCGCATACAAAAGAACATACTCGCAAAAGGACAGGATTCAATGACTGTTACCTTGAATCATTTGTTCCTTGCCGGCTACCATTAGACCGTGGTAAAAGTAAATCGACACAATATCTTTTTTTTTTGCGTTAATGAACCTTTTTTTATTTTTTCCCCCCTTAAGTGGAGAATCGAGGAAGAACACACGGAAGCACTCGCTACGGTGTCCACGATTCTGACACTCATCTTCCTCGTGGAAGTAATTATGAAAAATATTGCTTTTACACCACGTGGCTATTGGCAGTCCAGAAGAAACAGATATGATTTGCTCGTGACAGTCGTCGGTGTTATTTGGATCGTCATTCATTGTACAATGAAGGTAGGTCGGTAATATTATTATCGTTCGTGATCGTTCGTTTGTTTAAAAATAACATAATGACCGTAATGACGGGAATACCTTTCTTGCAGAATGATTTGTCATATGTAATCGGCTTCATGGTCGTGATCCTTAGATTTTTCACAATCACTGGCAAACATACAACTCTCAAAATGCTGATGTTAACGGTCGGAGTATCCGTTTGCAAAAGTTTCTTCATTATATTTGGCATGTTTCTTCTTGTTTTCTTTTATGCGCTAGCTGGCACGATCATCTTTGGAACTGTAAAGTATGGTGAAGGTATAGGAAGGTAATGTTACGTATTTCAGTGCAATAAAATGAAGGAGTAGTGTTAAGATTAGAAAATAATTAAATGGTGCAGGCGCTTTATTTCTAATACAATCTTAAGAGAGACGATTATCATTTAGGCGTGCCAATTTTGAGTCACCTGTAACAGGCGTCGCGATGCTCTTCCGTATTGTCACAGGGGAAGATTGGAATAAAATAATGCACGATTGCATGATACAACCACCATATTGCACTCCAGCTGCTAATTATTGGGAAACCGATTGCGGCAACTTTCATGCTTCCTTAATATATTTTTGTACTTTCTACGTCATTATCACTTACATTGTTTTAAATCTTCTGGTGGGTAAGTACTAATCGATCTCATTGAATAGATACACTGGTTGTTTTGGAATGATTCTTTAAGGATGGTACCATAAATTTATAATCTTTCATAATAGCTATTATTATGGAGAACTTTTCTCTATTTTACTCCAATGAAGAAGACGCTTTGTTATCGTATGCTGATATTAGAAACTTCCAGAACACTTGGAACGTTGTTGATAATCATCAGAAAGGTTTTATACCTGTGAAACGGGTACGCCTAAAAGAAAAGTCTTTACGGGCTTAACATGCTATTATAAATTGGCTAGAAGTAATGATATATTAGTTTGTTTTAGGTGAAGTTTATTTTAAGATTATTGAAAGGTAGATTGGAAACTGACCCACAGAAGGATCGGCTTCTCTTCAAACATATGTGCTACGAATTAGAAAAGTTGAACAATGGTGAAGATGTTACCTTTCATGACGTTATCAAGTAAGTCCTTGTATAAGTAACTATCATTATTGTGAGAAATATTTTCCGACGACATATTCTTTGCAGCATGTTATCCTATCGTTCGGTTGATATTCGAAAAGCTCTTCAGCTTGAAGAATTATTGGCAAGAGAGGAGTTTGAATACATTATTGAAGAAGAGGTTGCTAAGCAAACAATCAGAAATTGGCTAGAAGGTTGCCTGAAAAAAATACGTGCTAGTGGGGTAAGTTTATAAACAACAATTTACAGAAAATTGGATTTAATTTATAATTTACAATTATAGAAGCAACAGAATAGTCTCGTAGCCGGTCTTCGTGCCAACACTGAACAAGTACAACAACAAGAGCATGTAGAAGAAAAAGGGAAGGAAGTAGCCAAAGAAGAAGAAACTGAAACAAAGGTAAATTTTATTTTTAATCAATTGATAGTGAAAAATACATATATAATTTTTAATAATATTTATTACCAAGCAGGAGATTGATGCAATCAGGCACTGCAAAGCAAAGAAACCAGTAGTGCTTCCAAGATCTGATAGTATAGGTAGTGGATCAGGAAGAAAATATTTAATCCCAACACTATCAGATCCTGCTTCCATTAGGTCTGAAAAAGACAAGAGTGCGGCACCTAAGAAGAAGAATAATAGACCACCACGTATGTATATTTTTATACTTTGTAACTATATCCTTTTTATCGTGTTTTTCTCCAACGTGAGCTTTCCATTTGAAGCGGCGCCGAAAAATAATTTGCCACATCTCACAGAGAGCACCGAGCAAAGCCGACAGCAGCGGGAAGTAGTCAACGCAAAAGCAACTGTACCAAAACCTTCCAGCGTCATGCTAGAGGTTCGAGAATGGTGGAAGGAACAGTTGGCATACAGCAGTGAGTCCAGCGAAGACGAGGTTTAAGTAAACGCTTTTAAACAAATAGCCGCGGATATAAATTATAGCGCAGTACAGTATAAAAATGGAGCACATGCTTTTTAGCATCCTTGGTGAAAATGTGAATTAAATTAAAAATAATGCAAATACAATTTGTATTTCGCTGTTGATTACATGTGCTTCGTTCTTAACTGTCTACACGAATAAAACATTGGTAAATAAGAAGAAAAATATAAGTATGTGCCTGAAACACCAGCGTTAAAGGTAAGGCATAAGAGAAGCATTTTTGAGCACAGAGAAGACAAGGTACAATTTCTGTAATCCTATCGGAAAAATATCGAAGTAGAATTATTTCTTTTGCATATTTTTCGAATCTTATTTTTTACGTCGTTGTTTATAAAGTGAAAAATGTAGAGATATATGCAGAAAAATGATTTATATCCATTTTTAATCGTTATTTTTATATAGAAAATTTTGCAATGCTGTATCGAAGTATTATTTTATTACTGCACGAGGGAATTGTATAATACAATTCTTATTTCTAAATTATTTATCATGTTATTTGATATTATTTTTTTTGAAACAGAAGTTTATTCTTTCCCTCATGTCTCAGTTTGCTATTGCAAATACTCAGGTTCTATATAGATTAATGTTTTGTAGATTGTAATAACATATTTTAAGATATATTGAATATAATTTGTTATTGTGTTATATATATTCTGTGTCAGTTATTGGTGTTGAAATGTGTAATTTGTACAGAATTATAGGATTAGATACAGTAGGTTTTATACAGCAAAAAGTTAAGCCATGGAAGTGCTAATTAAGAGTAATGAAATTAACGTTATCGAGAATAATATGAGTACAATGAATTTAAGTGACGATTTTTTAAAAAAATAAACAATTTAGTTGTTGAAAATTTAATATATCGAATGTGAACAAAAGACGATCGAACGAAATTTGTTCATTTCCAATAGAAACATTACGTCCTGAAGGCCTGTATTATAACAATAAGAAAATAGCTGATTATAAATGTTGTAGTATTTTTTTGTTGTGATTATATATATATCTATATAGTAAAATCTGAACAATTTGGTACACTCAAAGATCATAATTTAATTATACAAATTGTGCGTATGAAAAAAAAGGCAATATATTATGTTACAATATTATCATTGATGTATATTCAAATCAAATGATATTAGACCTGTAAATACAAATCAACATACATAATTTCAAACAATATGATTATGTAAAATTAAATATTATACAGCAAGGTTTTTTAAAACTTGATCAGGCAGTTCTAGAAATACCATATGTTCAAGATAATTACAAAAATTTATGACAGCTAGTATACAGTGAAAATTTATGACGTTACAAATTTAAGAACTTTTTTAACGGTATAAAAACGCGGATAGAACAAGTTATGTAAAAAATGCCTAAATATTAGATACATATATATATATATATATTTAAATGAGACAGCACAACTATTTATATCTATGTGATATGGGTTGATTTTATATAAATATATATATATACAAAACAAAGACTTAGAAATATAAACAATATTGTTTACGATATTGTAATGAATGTTGATCACTGTTGCTAGTTTACGTGCCAATGTGCTGTACTGTAATATGGAGAGATAATAAATGTTAATAGATATAAATATTTCCAATTATATTAAACTCTCTCTTTATTTTACAAAAAAAAAGAGATAGACCAGCCATTTTTATGAATTGTCAATTATGAAAATATAAAATGTATCAAGTACTTATACATATAATATAAATTTTAAATAGTAAAAATATAATTTAACCGGAATATAGATATGCACTTAAATGTTTTTTAACGATAAATACGTTCATAACAAATTTACAATTATCCTTAATGTAAAAAATACAGGATAACTTACAGTACCAAATACATTTTACATAAGGAAGATATTATCATCTGCGGCCATAATTTGATTCGCATCAGACATTTTATTAATTGCAGCGGTAATTTCGCTCGATGTAAATTCTTGACTTTGTTGAGTATTGATATATTCGCGTACTGTTGATAATGAAAGTGATTGCGCCCTTTGTTGTTGAAACAACTTATGAAGAAGTGCTCTGAAAACCTTCAATCTGAAATCACAGAACATATATAACATTCAAATTTCATTGATATAAATAGCAGTTTGAAAACAATTAAACACACACCTTTCTTCAGTGATAGCTGCAGTAGCTTCTGGTTCTACAGTTTGATCAGAATCTGGTGCTGATGGCTGACTTGAATCAGTCGATTTCATTTGCGACCTAGTAATTCTTCTTGCAGCTTCATCAATGTGGCTGTCATCATCGCTTTCAAAATCATATGGATCTTGTTCTCCCGCGTTAGTCTTCTTTGTACGTTTCTTCTTGTTTTCGTTCTCCTCGTCTCCACCTGCACTTTCTTCGCTATCATGTCGCCTTCGTTTCTTCTTTTCTTTTTCCAGAACTCGTTTGAAATAGGCGAATTCTACTAATTCTATTGCTGCATGCGCATCATCTGCGGTAACGTTTTTTGATAAACGAGCCTTTGCATGTGCAGTAGACAATCGAATCAATGTTTCTAAAGTACGAGCTGTTACTGGTTGAGTCTAGTAAGAAGTAATACAAAATTAATAAGGAAATAAATGAAATAAACTACAAATGAATAAAACAATGTACCCTTGCTACATCAGAACTTATTGATTCTTCAGATCGTAATTTCGAATATTCGGAAGCAATTACTTCACTAGCTTCCTCTGTAAGCTTTGGTTTCATACAACGAGCTATGTGAATATATTTCCTCATAAAACTTATAGTTAATAATTGATCGCTAAAAGAACATTATCATTCTATAAAGTACTACAAATATAAATGTATGAATGTATAACAGTTTAAGTACCTTTTAGATTGCAATAATCCATGCAATAAGGGGTCATATTTTTGATAAATTTGAGTGTCATTTTCATCAGGAAGGATTTGATCTGGATTTTTTGTACTTAATATATCTACTTTACTGCCTAGAGGTAGTGCCTCTCCATCTTTTTCTTTTGTACTTCTATACCTATGCATCCTAACAACATGATCACTGATTATTTGATCTTGTTCAGAATCCACAATGTCTAGCATAACAAATAATAAATCGAAACGTGAAAGCAATGAATCCTGGAGTCCGATATTTTCCATTGGTGTCTTATATTGATCGTACTGAAAAAGATACATGTATAAACAAATACATATTAATTTATATTAATGAATATAACGCGATTTACTCTTCCATAAACTGGATTTGCAGCTGCCAGTACTGAACATCTTGCATTTAAGCTAACATGTATTCCAGCTTTAGCAATTGTTACTTTTCCTTGTTCCATCACTTCATGAATAGCTGTTCTGTCAATATCTGACATTTTATCAAATTCATCTATACAAATAATTCCGCGATCCGCTAATACCATAGCCCCAGCTTCAAGCCGACGTTCTCCTGTCTCATTATCTATAGTAACTGCGGCTGTTAAACCCACACCAGATGATCCTCTGCCAGTAGTTGGTATTGCTCTTGGAGCTGTACACAAAACGTAGCGCAAAAGTTGCGACTTTGCAACAGATGGATCACCAATGAGCAAAACATTAATATCTCTAATAAAGGAATTAAATATTAAATCTTATTTAAATTTAATTTAGAAAATTTACTTGCTATGCATATAGCTTAATGTTCCTTACCCTCTTAATCTTGTACCATTAGGTAATAATTTCTCAACACCACCAAGTAATAAACATAAAATTGCTTTCTTCACGTAATCATGACCATGAATGGAAGGTGCTAGTGATCTAGCAAGCAGTTCAAAGATATTTTTACAAGGATTGTTTTTTGCAAGTTTTTTACATTTAGCAACATCATCATGAGAAATAGTTAAATTAGCTTCTTTGCTTAATTGCATGATATTGTTAGCAATTAAGATCGATCTGTAGAAGATAGTTTTTATATTTAAAAGAGATTTAAATGTTATTTTCAAAACTTATATTTGTTAGTTGGCATACCTGAAAGTTCCTGTTGTATATCCTCCTTGTTTACCAGGTAGACATCTGAAGCTTCCAACAATCTGAACTCTGTCTCCAGGTTTACAAACATCTACTAAATCATTATCGCATACAACATCTATACTTCTTGGTAGCTGACCAGTTGGTGCTTTTTCTGGCATTTCTTGAATTGTTAATGTTTGATGATCTTTGTATGTAGAAAGGCCAAATTCTGTTTCTAATGGATTACCATCTTCATCCTATATTTGCGAAATTAAAAATATAACATGAAATACTTATTTTACTTTTGAATGATGGTATTATAAATAATTACTGTAGTTGGGTACACAGCAGACTGTGGAAATGCTTCAAATGAAGTGAAATCAGTATATGTTCGTTCAATTACTGTATGTGTTACACTGCAATAATGAACACTTCTCACAACCTTTGGACGTACCAAAGAACCTAACAAAGTTTAAAACACATATTTTACAGAATCAAAATGTAATAATATTTATGCATAAAATTTATATATATAATATGATATAAAATTGTATAACTTACATTTTGTAACAATACCTTCTACGCACACCAAGTTACCTAAAAAGCGTGATGTAAGGGTTCTTGGTGTAACATGTTTATTTCCAAAACTTCCTTCAAATGCTATAAAAAAATCTATATTTTGTTTTGCATACTCTGTGTCAATGCTTGCAACAAATTGCTTTAATGCATTTTGGAAAGCTTGATGCTCTTCAAAAGAATTACTTAATAGACTATAAAAAAAATTGGAACCAATGTGGAATAAAATATTGTAAAATTAATATAATTAATCATACTTGAGAAACAAGATCAAGAATGAACAAAGTAGATTTATGCATACCTCGATGCACGAATAGGATTCTTTCTTCGTAAATCGTTAACATTTACATATAGTCTGCGATTGTTTTCTTCAATCATATTTTTAACGAGAGTAGTATAAATGCCTTGATCTTCCTAAGGAATATGTAAGAAAAAGGATGAATAATATAGGGTTAAGAATTATAAAATTTTACAAACTTACCATATCATCTAAAAAATCCATATACTCTCTTTGTATCTCTTCTAATCTTTGATCTCGATCAATATCCATCTTTTCCGAATAATCTTACTGTTTTAACACAATATTATTTATAAATATTTTTACAAATATCTTGACGATTATAAAATTTGTATACACAAACACGACTGAATGCAACCGGTACACATTCGTAACAGTTTACGCGGGAAAACAAGAAAGTTGAGGCGTCTTCGATATACTTCAAAGAATCGATATTTTTCACATTTCGATACATTAACAAAATTTATTGCGCTTTCCAGCAGGTGTCAGCACAAGCTACAAAATCTAAAAATTTGAGATTTTATAAAATTGAACATTTTATTTTAAAACAGTAATACATCTAAAATATTAAAATGATTAAAATAGGAGGATGGGGTATGTGTTATATATTACTAATAATGAAATAAAGACATAATTAAAACGTCAAAGTCTTTGTATTTTTTATCTGCGATCTCGGCGCAGAAATATAATTATTTCCTGCGTGAGCTTTCGAAAGAAGCTTTTACAGGCTTATATTTCAAGGTCACTTAACATGTATGTAAACCACATTTAGAAATTAAAATAAATGATATATATGCTGGCAGAATTTTTATGTGCTATTAAATACAAAAGCTGTATATTACGTGTATGTATAAACATAAGGAAACTGCTACCTTCTTGCTTTCATTGTGTATTTTCCAGTAATTACGAAACAAGCTGAAAGTCTAAGTATACATTTCTTATCATCCTTGATTTCACGTTTTGCATGTTTCGTTTGATTAAAAGCAATCTACATCATTGGTGATATAATTTGAAAGATAAATGTGATTTTGTTTTCTTTTTGTTTTGTTTTTGGTATTGCAGTATTGCAATGGGCACACTAAGATTAGTATACGTAAGACGCGTATACAAGGGTGCCTAAAATACAATCAGACAGGATTGAAGTATATACTTTGAGCATAACCGTTGTATTTTTTTCCTAATTTAACGTCATCCGTTTTGTTTCTCGTGAACACCGTTTTCTTGTGGTTTCAATGGTTTTATCACATCAACTTCGTTTAGTTGTTCTATATCTAGTTGTTGCTTTTTCTTCTTCTTCTCCGATTTCCTAAAATCATGGAAATGTGATAATAGGATTTTTTGATATTTTACCTTGAGAAATGTAAAAGAAGTGTCGTATATCAACATACTTTCCAAATAATTCGCCATCTTGTATAGATTCTGGGAGCTTCTTATTTAACGTCTCTGGAAGGAGTAACGACATAACTCCACCAAAAAGTACACACGATCCAAAAATAACAAATGGTAGAGGCATCCAGATTTCAGACTAGAAAATAGTATTTATCAAAAATAAATACATCATAAACATGATTAGGAAGTTAAAGTAATGAATTACCAAGTGAATGACATGTGGAGCAATTACTCCACCGATTCGAGCGAAAGTCGAGCTTGCTCCAAGACCGACATTTCGAATAACCGTAGGGAATTGTTCGGCAGTAAAAACGTAAATAGCACCATAAGATGATGTAATTGTGAGCTTACCGATCATCGCTAAACATATTACGAGCCACTGAGCATCTAAAAATATTCATAAATTAGAAAATATTAATAAATTTATTGATTAAAAAAACAATGCAATAAAATTTAATTTTTGTTTTGGTCCTAACCAGCAGGTACAAGCAAGATTCCAAGTAATGCAAATCCTGCTATTAGCATGCAACCGCACAGGATGATCTTTCTTCCCCAACGATTCAATGTAAAGATTAAAAACGTGTATGCAGGTATTTCCACCAACCCGGATATGACGAAATTAACGTAATCGTTGCCACCAAGGTTGGACACATGCCAGGATAAACCATAATATGTGCCACTATTTACAAGCCTATTAATAAGGAAAGGATGATATATTTGCAAATACTATATGCCAAAAAGTACTGAAAAATCAGAAGGAAAATCAAAGTAAAGATTACCAATTGAAAAATAGTAGAATACTCTTTCTTCTCAAGTTTGGATACCGAAAAAGATCAAATAACGATGGCTTTCTATAATCTGGTGTAGTTTCCTCGTTATTACTATTAAGAAGCGTATCCAGAGCTTCGCTCGGCATCTCTACGCCATTTTCTAAGGAAGCTCGTTGGAGGAGATCTTTCGCCTCTTGTACACGACCCTTTGTCAATAGCCAACGTGCGGATTCAGGAATGAACCTATAAAGTTTGTCACAACAATATTTAAAAAAATGAAGAAAAGAAAAATATATTTTGATTGAAAGCATTGAACAAAGAGATATTGATCTTACCACCAGTAGAGAAGAAACGCAATGCTAGGCACAGTGATAGCGACTTGTAGCATTCTCCAATCGGTTATAAAATACGCAAAACCAGCAGTTAGAATATATCCAGTTGTGAAGAACAATTGGCAGCCGACCCCAGCTACCAAACGCTTCTTTGGCCCTACCATTTCCAAGGCTGAAAGGCAACGTTGTCGTTCTCATTGTCAGTATTATAACATCAAGCTATAATATTAAATAATAGTAGTGAAGAATATATGAGATTTATTAAATATACGAAATTCGTAAGACTTTACCTATTACATAGGCGACTAAAAAGACTCCACTAGTAGTGGAGCCAACTATTAACCTGAAGACAACGTAGGAAATATACTCGGGGGAAATTGCGACTAGTACACCACCGACCAACTGTATGACTAAAGACAGGAAGAAAATTGGTCTACGCCCAAACTTATCGGACAAACCACCGAAAATCATCGAGCCAAGCATGACTCCTACCATAAACAACGAATCCCCCGTAGCTCTCAACCATGACCTATCGCAAACTAAATTCCACTGGAAATAAAACGAGATAATTGTTTGTTAAAACGTTCGAAGGTATAGAAAATATTTGGGTTTATCATTTTAATGTCACGAAGACATGAAATATACCTCAGAAGTAGTAGTACTTTTATATTTGCTTCTATCATAAACGAACGTTTCACATGGCTTGTATCCTTGGGTGTTGAGACTATTCGGAGTTAATGTTTTTTCTCCGTGTATATTACCCGTTGACGTGTCGACGTACCTATTGATCGTTGTCTCATTAACGATATTGGGAAGATCCAGCATGTAGCATTGTAACAATTTTTCCTGCTCGTAACCCCCTGGATAACTCGTATTCAGTATGTGTGGCGGTAAAAAATATGTGGCATTCTCCGGATTTTCATGTGGTAACAGACATCTAGAACGAAAATTTATTTATGAAAATTCATTCTAGATATATAATTTATTATCCAAAGCGAGTTTTTAATCAATTTGAAAAACTCAGAGATATTGTTCTTTCAACAATATAAAAATATCAACAATATATTTAAATTGCTAGAATAAGATTTTACCTAGCGTTCATTTTCGCGCTGAGGAAGACTCCAGCGATCTTATGGAAAGCACAGGATATCGCCGGTAGACAGAGCAACAGGTAGATTCTGCGTTGATATCGGCCGAACTCCCCCATTCGAAGTATAACATCGTCATACGCCATTTTTCCTTGATGCCTCTAATTCTTCTCCGTTTGCGCCTCCAAATCCCCGTAGTCCTTCTGCTCGGGGATACACTTCTAAAGTAACTTTTTTCTATCGTCGAATCCGTCTCGCCGGAAATAATGATTTCTCGCCTCAAGGAGGTCTTTAACCGTATCGCCGCTTCGATTCACGAATTTTAATTTTGGAAAACCTCCCTCTATCCTTTCTTCTTTAGGAGAAGAGTGTAAGTCTATATTGGTGGACTATGTCATTTTTAATAAAATAGAAGTTATATCGAAGTCGTTGTCAAAAGACAGTCTTTAAGAGTACTTTTATCTAAACAGACAGTTTCTTGAACGTGTCAATGATCTAACGAAAGTTTAGATTGACTGTGTTGGCTCGGATTTTGCTGCATGTAGATCTCCCACTTTCACCCTGAAATTTAGAAATTGAATAGATTTGTGAAATTAACTCGTGAACACGTTTAACAATAAAACAAATCAAATCGAAAAACAATTTCAATCGAGTTCAAATATCATTCAGGAAAAATTGCTTAATCATTTTTGCAGCGAAGCGTTGTAATTTGCCTAAAATTAGTTGGGCATTCAAGGACATCGAAGAACGATGTCTCGCCAAATTAGTTAGCTATTTTGGCATTCTGACTTCAATTTTTCCACTTTAATTATTCCCCGTTATATACATAAAAATCGATGAATGTATTTATTCCATTTATCTATATCGGTATTTGTATTAGTAAGTAAATAACAAAATTATAAAAAATGGAATAAACTAATATGATTTTGAACTACTAATTTGTCCTACACGATCTCCAATACGATCTTTACTGCGCTACAATTTTAGCAGAATTGTAGCGATAAAATTCGCTGATATTACAATAAAGGCTCGTTAAAAATGCCCATTTCAATGACTGGTAGAAAATGTAGGAAATGCAGACCATGAAACAATAGTTGGGAGCAAAATGCTTTGTATAAGGATAAAAATAATTTGTAACTCAAAGGATATGCAAATTGACTGGATAATCACGGAAACTATTCTCAAGGTAAGATATATACATATAAAATCGTTCTGCACGGTGTGCATAGTTAAGAATCATCAGGACATCGGGACCAACAGGCATCTCAATCAGATGGAGTACCTTGTAATGTTACACGATGCGATAAGTATTGCGATATGAGCTACACATTATCGAATCATTAACAATGTAAATGATTTAATATACACTTGCTTGGTTTTACCGGCTTGAATTCAACCTAACTACAGATAATCATCGGAATCGAATCCGACTAAAACATTTATACGAATATGTACTTGTATCTATCAGAAATATTTACGTAACGCGAAGATTACTGTGAATAATTCATCAGATAAAAATAACGAAAAATATGTGTCAAGTTGAACAAGAATGTTTAATGAATGATTTTCAAGATTGATAACGAATGTAGCATTATGTTAATAGCGAACAACATGAGATGACAAAATAAATATGTATGTGGTAATACAGAGCGGCAGAATAAGCAAGTCGAAATTATGCAATGAAAGAAATGTTGTATGCTTGCTTGATATATATTACTTAAAATGGAACACTGTTTAAATGAATATACGAATATTTAATTTACGAGCTATATTGGAGTTTTGATGCCTATTTCAAACAGAATTTCTAAACTATCTTAAATATGCCGTAATCGTTGTATTATACGTATAGATATTGTAGAAAATCAGTATAATTCGTTCCTTTTTCTGGAAAGTAATCTTGCGTGAGTGAATACTTAAACTTTTAATTATAATCCTACTAATATAGTGAGTAAACGTTTCAAATTATATCTTGTTTCAATATCTTTTGAAAAGAAATAATGAACAATCGACTGACAATTGAGATAACGAGCAGGCCTATTTGAAGAAGATAGATATTTTTCTGCATAGTGACAAGGAAAACAATTACCGCTGATTGCAAGAGTGATCATCGTCAAAGGGGAGTCTCTTAATTTACAAGTATAAACTCGACTTTTATTTAAGTCGGTCTGTATGCTAATTGAAAAACAGTTTCTGAAATGATTGATAAAACCTGTACGCTATATTATAGTTCTATGTGGAAATTACACAAAAATAAATTTACGATCGAAAATCAGTAGATTTCATGTACGTAAATAGGTTGGATGTATTATGAAATATATGATATAATGCATAATATAATGTAATAGAATCATAGATGCGTGTATATGGATCTTATGCAATATCATTTAGACTTCCTGAAGAAAGTAAGTACACGTTGCCTCGCGTGTCAGGTTGAAGAATGACAGTGGACTAACTGTTCTGTATCTGTTCTCCACTCAATGAAACTTATGAATTAAACGTATATACCTCGTGTGATCTTTACTACAGAAACATTTTTTATCTAAAAGATCCTTATACCAAAATTACGCTTATCGTACAATAAGCATTACTTTTTTGCCTCTAATTTAAATTAACAAGTAATTAACTAAATATTTTTTCTAAAAACTATACAAAACTATAAGAAGATAACGAATCTTCAGCAGCACTAACTTCGGTCCCTCTCATCTATTAATACTACCCTATCAGAAATAATACCTAAATAAAATTTAAAAAGATTACACAATCTCGTTGATTATCTTTCTAATATAACAAGATCTCTATAAAAGCCCTTCTCAGATTTTCATTCAACTAAAATAAGTTCAAATCATGCATCTTCTAAAATTATTAAAAAATAATTTTCTTCCTAAATGTATCAACTTCAAAAGCATATTGCCTTATTTACAAGAGCCAAAAGAACATGATCAACGTACTTGTACACGTCACGTGCTATTATACTCTACAATATACGCTCTTATGCCTTATACATATTAAGTATCCTAATCGTATTTCAACCGGATACTCGCTAATTAAAAGTATCGTATGTGTTTCCTCACGTAGTATGGTCACTGATATGGCAAGTTATCACACGTTTATTAAAGAAATCAGAGAGTGGTCGTTGGACGAACGAATACGAAGCAATCTTGCACGCACGAAGGCCGGACGACGACTGCCGGCGCTTTGGCCGATGCCGATGATACACAGGAACTCAAGTATATGACCCTTCCTCAGAGGTATAGCAGTGGCGCCGCAACCACCACCATCGACTGAACAAGTCTACCCTCCTCCTACCCTCACTTTTCTATCACGTTCACCGTTGCCATCCACCAGGACTCCCACCAGCTTTCTTCCACCCTCGGGAGTGCCATGGTCAACCATACCAAATGGTTGTCTGAATGTCGATGACTTGTTGCTCCCAAGGAAGATCGTGAAATAGAAGAAGAACCTTTAATTGTTGGTACTTTATAGTCTTCTTCCTTAAATATTTCTTTTCATAGGTAGCTGGAGATTTTACTTTTGACTTTCAATCTTCTCTGTATTTTCATATTTATCATTTTATATATTCGATCTATATTTTACCTTTTTATAGTATTGGTATCTTTCGTGGTCAATTTTTCTCTATATTTTCACATTTGTTACTATCAATGTTTGAAACTTTCGATTCCTAATTCTTTATTTCGTCTCTTCCTGTTTCCATCCAATTATCTTTCATTGATGCTAAAAAGATTGAACTATATTACTGGTTAAAAATCCCTCATTCAACTCTCAGTACTGTTTTAAAGTTCGTTATCCTTAATTAAATTCGTTTCATCTCTGACCATTGAACCTCCAAATCTGTGTCTTTGACCTCACCAGAGGCTAAAAATTCTACTTCTAATTCTTTGTCTCGCTCGACTTCTCGAACTCATCCTGACCAAAGACCTGTTGCAAACCTGTTGCTCCTCGTTGAATCAGACGATTCACCGTGCCAAATTCATTTGGACAAGGTGGATGAACAGGAGAAATCAGCCAGCAATGTGCGGACAAGATCGTTGGGATCATGTTGCTGGCGGAGGTTCGTTTGCTTTTTGCATTCCATCTTGGATTGATGCAGAGGTTCCTTTGGATCTTTTATTATCTAAATGCTTCTATCATATTAGAATAAAATATATAAACTATGTATCTTTCAAGAGGAAACAATTATAATTCTTAATAAACGAATAAAGTATTCAATTAGGTTTAGAATCATCTATATCGAAAGCTTGAAATAATTTTGAAAAAAGAAAAATTGTGTCTAAATATCTGAAGGAGAATGATCATATCTCTGATCAGATCATCAAATGATCTATTTGCCATAAGCATCATTTAAAAATAAAATTCACGTTTATTTCCGATCTATTATAAAGAGAAACATAGCAAGTAAATTCTACTACTACTCATACATGTGAATGCTTGAAGATATAAGCAGGAGACTATCTTCAAATAGATATTTCATATGTTAATGACCTAAGTAAATATTTAGATTATCTTCCCGTTGAAAACTTCAATGCCCACTGTATTATGTAAGAAGAGTTAAATATTACAACAACAGATCTCTGTGTAAATATCTGCAAGAAAAAAATATTTCAAGAGAAACCAGTATTTACACCTTTTTAAAGATTCAAGAAGACACTTATTCATCACTACCATAAAAAATGCACTTGAATTGTGACCAAAATAATTGACGCATTTTTTTATGCCAACTCAACACACATAAAATACTAATAATCACAAAACTTGTAGCAACAATTAATTATCCTTATCTGGTAAAATCTTCTTCAACAATTAAGGAAATATATCATAATTAACTATTAATTTTATATGAAATAATCATTAAACACATAAAGAGTACCAATGGTCACAAGCACACAGTGGAAAGCAACTAGAAAAGGTGCATATATCGTGCGGTCATAACTATGCGCATTGAGTCATGCCAGTTCTCAGGATGCAAACAGATCGCGTAGCGGCGAGTTGATAACACAACGAGCTGGGCGAATTGATGGTGCCGCGTGCGTGTAACGCGCTGGAAACGATGACAAGGTAAAAAGTGGTCGTTTGCATTCGCGGCATACCGCGGCAATTCAGTCGCGTGCTGAAGCAGGGCCTGATGTTCGTTCACGAAGAGGCTTAGGACCGTTGGAGAACGCAGCTCCTGCTGGAATTTAGGATCCTTCCAGAATAAAATCCCTTTAGAGATTTTCGAATATTTATGATTGCTCAAGAAGGTGCTGGTTGACCATTTGCTTTCGGGAATTAATCCGATAGAGCATGTTCCTTTTATTATCTCTCGATCCTCTCTGAAGAGAAAAGAGGTTTATTTTTGCCATAAGGCAGTACTCTACCCTAGACAATTACTTTTATCTATTATTTCGGAATATAAAAAAAGAATCAGTAACTACATAGATAAATATGTAGATGCATATTTTTTAACTTGTAACCAAAATTTCAAATAATTGTCTTCAGTAACACGGGAAATAGAATATCATCTGTTATGTAACTATTTTTAAACCTTCAAGACTAAAATACTC